GTTAAGAACTCATGGTGCTTTATACCCCGAACAGATCTTGACAGCTAAATACATAACTAACACAGTCTCAAAAGATGAAGATGGTTTTTTAACAAAGCATTTATCCTTGAAAGGATCTCTAAATCTTTCCAATGTGCGAGGTTTCACTCTTAGAGAATGAAAATTCAGACAAAAACTGATCTCAGGGTGTGTACTGAAGAAACAAGACACTGAGCTTGGACTCAGAGGAGCTCTGTTCCTCTGCTTTTATCCCTCACGCTGCAGCCCGCAGACTTTATTCTAGATGCAGTCTTCACGCAGTGGGTTATCTGGTTCCCAGTAGTAGATGCCCCTAGTGGGGAGTTGGGGGCTGTTGATTGTGAAGGAGCAAAGCTGATAACAGAAATGCTGATGACAGCGTGTAGGAAGGGTGAGGGAGGGAAGAGGGGAGGGAGGAAGTGTGGAAGGAATCGGGGAAGGAAGGAGAAGGCGGCTGTGGGTGGGAGTATTTAGCATAAGAGCAAACAACTTCGTTCCTCAGTAGAGACCTAAGAGCATCAGGAATTTAGGACCAACATCAGTTAATCATAATCCTGACCCTGAATGATCACGAAAAATCAAAACTATACTCAACATTATAAGGCAGAAGTAAATGATACTTTTTAGAATTATGTAAAACTGCCTTTTCAAACTTTGGGAAACAAGTTACATGGAAGAATAACTTCCAAACTGTGTTCAGGTGATGTCCCGGGGGTTGCAGGGTTGGGGTGGGAGGGTTCTTGTGACCTGTTTGCAGAGAAGCCTGTCTTTTATCTGTTTTCTATAATAATTTCTTAATTTTCTTAATATAAAGATTCCAGTAAAGAGACAGTGTTAAAATGCTTTAAAAACTATTTGAAAACTGCTGATCTAGAAGTTTCAGTGATGTGGAGTTTCGTTCCTTGGTGATGCCGGGGGTGTCTCTGCAACCCCCACACACGTGCAGTCCCAGGAATAGATATGCCAGGGGGTAAGAGACAGAGCACAGAGATGCTCGTGGTCCCCAGCCTGCCTGCTCCTGCCACACCCACTTAACAGCCGGCTACCCTCCCCGGGCAGCCGGGGCAGTCGCAGCTGTGCGTGAAAGCCACAGCCTGGCCGGGCGGATGGGGTGGGGCATGAGAAAGCGTGGGGTCCTCCTGCCCATGCACCTTCACCAGCGGAGCAGCCTGGAGACTCTGCGTGTCCCAGCAGCTGCCTGGACTGCCTGTTCGTCAAGAGACACCTGAGAGAGCCATCAGGAAGCCCTGTCGTGCTGTGATACCTTAGGGCCTGCCCTCATGTCTGGACCACAGAGGAGACAAGTTTCACCCGGACAGCCCTCCGGGCCGTTGTGCTGACCCAGGAGTACCCAGAGGCTGGCCCCACCCAGGAGGCAGGTGGGCAGACACAAGGAGAAAAAGCAGGAGGCCTCCCACTTGGAATTTTCCACAGAGCAGGAGCAACCTGCATCCTCCCCAGTCTGTCTGAGCAGTGCCAAGGCCCCCACGGGGATGAGGGAGGACCTGATCTTTGCACCCTGGCCAAGAGTCCAGCAGTCATATGACGTTACTCAGCAGAAGAGACTCTACAGAGGTCTGTTTGTCCTTCTGTCCCATCACCAGTGAAGATTCCCGGCACTGGCTCCCTGGCCATGAGGACAAGAATCTCTCGTGTGTGCAGCTCAGGTGGGAAAACATCCTCTTCCCACACCATCAGGATTTCAGTAATGAGAAGCATATGTTCCTAGTACACAATTCATTAATTCTTGTGTTCCCTGTAGTGAATTTCCTCCCGCAGAACACAGAAAGCTTGGACAAGGCTTTTGCCAATAACAGCGTGATTGTTGAATCCTAAGACAGTGTCACCCTTGATTCACTGAATGCATGCACATTTTGTGGAAAACTTAGGCCAAAATAAATGCCTCTTTCCCAGCTGGCTTAGTTCCCTCTGGTCTGAAAGGGCAGAATCCCAATCTCAGCTGCACTTCCGTAAGGAGACCTTCCCTGCCAGCCACACCCAGCCCTGCACGGAAGGTCACCTGGTATTACTGGGGGAGGGGGGCTGCACGTCTGGGGCTTTCACGCTCAGGTACTACCTCGTTCCCACGCCAAGGATATTTCTAGATGACGAGAAGACAAAAGGAGCACAGGACACAGGCCCACACTGGCCGAGGACATCAGACATTGGACGAGAGGTTAGCAACTTAGACAGCGTAGGTTTCTGGAAAATGGATGAGGTAGTAATCTGTGCCTTGGGACCCCTGAGACACATGCTGGAGGGACTCAGGATAGACACAGGATGTGTCTTGAATCTTGAAAGATGGGTAGGTTTTTGGGAGAGAGGAGAACCACGTGAGGTTGGAACAACAGTTGGGGGCCAAAGTCGCTGGCTCAGGTAAAAGTGTATGTTTTGAGAACCGACCTGAGAAGAGCGGGTTGGGGGGTGGGTGGCACCGCACCTGGAAGGGCGGGCGGTCAGAAAGCTCTGACCTCACCTCCTCTGTGCCTCCAGTTACAGGTCCTGGTGGCCTCCCACTGCTGATGGCATTGGGAGCCCTGCCCAGCCCTCCCCTTCCTTCCCTGGGCATCTTGTGTTTGTACATGCTGTTCTGATTCCTTTCTTGCTGCTCCCTCCCGCCTCCCGCCTCCCACTCCCAGGTGACAGCTTGACTGTTCCGAAGACGCCGACTCACCCCCAGCCTTCCCTGCCCGCCCCAGGTGGCACACTCCTCCCTACGCTCCCTAAGCAGCTTGTGTTCCATCTTCCCGTCTCCCACCAGCGTCACATGGGCCCTCAGGCTGGACTTGGGGTCCTGTTAGCTGGGTGCGGGTGTGTGTGTGTATCTGCCCACTAGATTTGCCCCCCAGTATAACTGGGAAGTGTTTTAAAAGCCCATTTTGGCTGTGTTGTAGAAAGCCAAGGCAATGTGGCCCATCCACGTAGGGAGCTTTGCCCTTGACTGAGCAGGAATCAGGACTCTTTGAGGCTCCAGCTCTTTTCCTCTGGGTCCCGTAAGCCTAACCTAGTATCTGTTCCCCTTGAAGAGCAGTGACTCAAGAATCTAATCTGGGGGAAACTGCAAACCAAAGGAATGCAGGCCACTTCCTGGCTGATAGGAGAGGCTGGCCGGGCTGCTCCTGCGGGAGACCGTGTGGGGGCAGGGCGGTGGGGTGTGGAAGTCCTGAGCTAAATAGCACGGGACCCCCAGGGGAAAACCGGAAGTGGTGGCAAACAGTCTGTTCTCTGCCTTCAGGAAAACTTTCTGACCCAACACAGAACCCATCTAGCTGCACTTGTCAAACGCCCTCCGTTTCCCTTTCCTCAGCAGCCCCGTGGAGTGAGTGGTGCTTGGAGGGACTGAACCATCTCTGGGTGGATGCTCTTCAGCCAGTGAAGCTGAATTGAGCATCCTTGTCCTCGTGCTCATCTTTGAAACTTCCATCTTATAGTCTAGTCAAAGTTGAATTGAAATGCCCTGGCGCCATGATTCAGCCCGTTGCGTGGGGAGGTCAGACAACGCCAGGCACCTGCCTGGCCTCCCCCATCTTCCTTCTTGGTTCAGCTGCTATCAGTGAAGGGCGGGGGCGTGGGGGGGCTGGGAGGAGGGACGGGAGGGCGGGGCTGGGGCACCTTTCCATCCACTGTATTTGAATGTTGCTATGGCAACGGAGAGGCCCTAGAAGCAGCGCCAAGTATTGTTTCTTTCCTCAGGAGGGGAAGAAATCCACTCTTGGCATCTCAGTGATGTGTGTACCTGGGAAAGGCAAGGATTTGGAGACTGGAAGGTGGCATATTTGGTGCACAGCTGGAGCCTTTAGGCCTAGAGGGGTCAGGGTTCCACACACAGCCATTTCAGGGGGTGGGCCTGTGGGTGCGGAGCGCTGTGGGCCCAGAGGAGAGCTGGAGCCTGGTGTAAGGTACCTGTGACTCCAGGCTACTGAGTCGGCGGGGTGCGCACTGGCCGTGGGGGGCCCAGCCAGCACTCTCTTTTGCGCCCCCACCTCAAAGCACGGGCTTCTACAGGTGAGACAGGTGATAGCCAGAGTCTTGGGCAATGGGGTCTGCTCCTGGGAACCTTACAAAGTGAAAAAGTTACCAAACCCTGGGGAGCTTTGTGGGAGAGGCAGCAGGGCAGAGCGGAAGCAGCAGCACTGGCCTTGAGGACAGACAGAGAGACAGACAGACCTAGTGTGCCCCTGCTCTGCTCTCTACCCCGGGGGGCCTCAGAAGAGTTCCGTGTCTCACCAGTCTCCTGTCCAAAAGGGGGGAATAAGTCCTACTCTGTAGGACCGTTGTGAGAACTGTAGGTAATATATATAAAAGACATCACTGTGATTAGCTAGCTTGTAGTAGGTGCTCATTAATGCGAAATACTAGTTAAAGTAGTAACTGAAAGACAGCACCGCCCTGGGCTTACTCGGTGTCTCTCAGCATCAGAACCAACTGGAAGCTTTTAAAATACTCAACTAAGCCAAGCTTGCAAGGTGGGACCAAGATGTCTATGTATTTTTTAAAGCTTCCTGAAGTAACTCTGATGTCACCAGTCTGAGACTTCGGGTAGGAAATCCGTTTATTTGCTTGAGGATGAAGAATATAAATAGCGCTGGAGCTTCCCCTCTTCTTTCCCCTCCCACCAACCTTTTTCATGCTACCTTTATTCTGCTTCAAAACTCCAAAGGCTTCTGGAAGAGATCGGCCATGATGGCAGAAGTCATAACCTCCAAATGCTTCTGCCAAAATGATCTGTGTTTGGAAGCAGGGCTGTGTGATAGAGAGGCTGAAAGTAATTAAGTCAGGAAGACAAAGAGAAATGAAAGTCCAACTCTTTCCTGAAAGGAGGTGAAAAGAATTTCTGCAGAAAGTGAAATGCAGTCCCTCCACGACGGTTGGACCCTTTGGGCTCTCATGGGTTATACACATGACACTTAAGGTGACTTGTACAAACCTTAACTAGGAGTTTTGCGTGCCTCTGGCTAAAGTTCTTTTCCTGCATCCCACAGGAACGTGGTTGAAGAGTGGTCTCGGCCTTGTGCACCAGGAAGACAGCCAGCTGACGTGGACGTACATTGCCCCGCAGCTGGGGTACTGGGTGGCAGCCATGTCTCCTCCCAGTCCAGGTAACAGCATCCCCAACGCCTGCAGTGATGGAGAGTGACTCTTTTGCGGTTTCAGGCTAAGTAGGATTCTGAGAGTGACTTCAGCAGGGAGTCACATCTTCCTCCAACCAGTTGGAAATGTGAAAATCAAACGACGAGACAAAGGTATTTTGTGGGGGTGGGGAAGTTCTGGTTGGAACTCTCCCATCTGGGATAAGAAGAATGCATAGGAAAGAGTCTTGTCTCCAGTCTCTGTCTTGCTCAGACAGCTGCCATGGGGAATTATTAATCTGAAGCCCACAGACGTGGTTTCAACCTCCTCCCTAATTCCTGAAACAGCTGTGGCCTGGTGGAAGAGAACGTGTAGCGAAAGGCACTCACCAGAGGAGCTAGCAAAAAGTCACCATTCATTGGAGGCTTCTTGGGGCAAAAACCTGGAATGAGCATTTCTGAAAGGCTTAAAAGCAAGCCTGTTACTTTATGTCTAAAAGAATATTCATCTCCACTTAGGATATGTGAATTAATTTGTATTGTTCAAAGTGTGACTAAAAGTTTATTTTTTTAACCTAGCCGCCCTGATTTATCCCTGTGAGTGTTCCAGAATTTTTTTTTTTTTCCAAAATAGTCACCTTAGAAGAAGTCTTTCCAGTGGTGGCTTCTATTACTTCAAAATGCCTTTTGGACCTACCTCCCTTGGACAGTCTTCATTAGTGAAACTGTTCATGGGTGGCCATTCTTTATACTCAGAGGGTCCCTTTGATTTTTCTTCAACGCATCTAAAAGTCACCCGCCTCCACATGTGGTGAATAGAGTAAGTAATTGAGCTAGGCCAAAATGTGCTAGGATTAAAAGTTGTCTCTTGTCAGTTACCCATGAAAGCAGTTCCAAAACGGGAATCCAGAATATTTTAGCGATGGAGTTTTCACTGGAATGAACACTTAGACTTCCAACGTGACTAATTTGACGGAAGTCAATCCAAGATGAGGGTTGAAAAATCTGTTCCATGTACTTTAGACTCCCATCCTGAGAATATGTCACTTCACTTCTGGGTTTTCGAAATATGTTTCCCTTTACAAGAATGGTCTCGTAGCCATGTAGGCATGCACCGGCTTCAGAAATGCCCCGTCTCCAAATCTGGAATGCCTGGAATATGACTCTGAGTAAGGAAAGAAAGAAAAGATACTCCTTAAGCACCATCGTAGAGGCCACAAAGCCCACACATTAGAGTTAACTTTTATTTTCGATCCATTTCAAACAACTGTGGCTCTCAGTTTTCCCATCATGAGACAGATTAATAGATGCTTTTGTAATGAAGGGAAAAAGAATGACTCCATGTAGGTTGACCCAAGCTTCCTGAGAGGAGGGAAGGAAGAGGCCAAAAGCTCTAAAAAGCATACAAATTACAGCCCCTGGTGGCTTTTAATGTAGAAACACATCTGTTGGTGTCCTCACACCTGTCACTTTTATTAAAACAAATCACAGTGACACTGTGCTTTCATGAGCCTGAAACCAACAAGAACATAATTAGAGTTTTCTCTTTCATTCTCTGGCTAAGAAGCAAGTGAAGTATGGCTATGAATTTTATCAAGATTTCCACTGGCAGAAGTTAAAATAATAACATTTTAAGTGCTTAAAAGGACCAGGCTTCAGTTATTTGTGAATGATTTTTATGAGTACCCCGATTTCTTGGTGACTACCTGCCAAGGCATTACCTATGTCTGTGGGGTGGTCTCTACGTAAAAAAAAAGTTTCTCTGAACAATTAAGGCCATGCATAGTTGTCAGTAATTTTTCCATCTTTTGTAAATGGTAACTCCCACTCACTCCTACTGAAGTGATTTATAGTTAGGAGAGAATGCTGTTATCTTTTGAACTTAAGTGATGTCACTATTTTCAAAAATCAACAAGTCCCCCTGGATTCATGTAGCTTTTAAGAGATATAGCTCCTTCTAAAGATTTTTGAAGAACGATATCCCTTAGAATATCAAACATTAATCAATCAATGGGTGTTTATGATGTTTGGTGATCATAACCACGCTACTCCGACGGAATGTGTAACCACACTCCTACCTTCTCATCTTTTGGTGCCCTGCCAGGATACCTGGATGCCAATAATTCTGTGCCCAAATATTGTACTTTGGGGGGATTTTTGTTTTCGATGTCAATCCATTGTCAGGGACGTTAAGATAGGTTCTTACGACTATTGAACATAAACAGTAAGTTAAACTGCCTCTTGGGATTCTTCCCAATGTAAATTAAGAAGAAAACATGTTTGCCTCTGATAAGCTTGTCTGTAAGCTCTGGAGACGTCTGCGGCCAGTTCAGACTTGCCATTTTGAAGAGGTGCTAAAGAGGAAGATTTTATTTTTTGTAAATGGGAGACATTTTAGAAACTCTCGATGCCCCCGTAAGGAGCTGCAGATTTTTTTTTAAGTCACAGGAAATTTATTTCCTACGTTTCAACCGATTTATTTCGGCCAAGGGCTCTCTACATAGTAATCATTGCCCAGAGAAAGTGAGGATAAAATCTCATGAGTTTTTTTTCTCCCACGGGATCATAAAATCCTCAGGTGTTCAGGCCAGGTCTCTGAGTCGATGAGTCCCACTCATTGTATGATTACGCATCCAGTTTTCTGGTATTAAAAGGCCACATATTCAGCATGATGAACATGGCACTGGGTGCAGCTCTCCTCCTGGCTAAGGAGGGACATGGTCACTACACGTAGACTCTTGAGTGCTCACAGTGCTCAGTGATGGTATGGGGATCCCTTTTCATTGAGGGAGGCTAGGATGATGCTGCAGCCACACGGTGATGCATTTGTTGCTGGCCTTGCTCCACGCCCCAGCCAAGAAGAGTAAGAAAAACGTCACGCTCTCAGTTAGTTAATCCCTCTTTTTATGTAAAGGCTTTCACAAATCTAAAATGCCCGTTTCTGACCTTCTAGGTCCCGTTGTCACACAGGACATCACCACGTATCACACGGTGTTTCTTTTGGCCATCTTGGGAGGAATGGCTTTCATACTTTTGGTTTTGCTGTGTCTCCTTTTGTACTATTGCAGGTAAAGTTTCACCAGTCGGGGTGCTAACTTTTTAAATTTGAAATTTCTTGCACAAGCATTGATATTGAGTTCTCTTCTCTGAGTCGAGGTCCTTTTTTTCTCATAAGAAAATACGTAAGAACCAAATGTATGTCATGTAAGTTGCAAACACAGGACGTGACAGGCATGCATGCATGATGTTTCTTAGGAAGGAGTCATTAAAAAGGTTTGATCATCATGAAGATTTGTTCAGAATATTCCTAAATGGTAATTAAGAGGTGATATTCTCAAGAACAAAGCAGAATTGTTCTTACTTTGATGCCTTGTCTGCTCGGCTTGCAAGAATGTTTATTGCCGACTCTGCGGCACCCACTTTTGAATGAATAACTTGGATGTTCTCAGGGTGAAAGCTGCGGTTTGAGACCCTCAGAATCAAAATAAGGCTGAGGGTGTGGGGTGAGAAGGCTTCTGGTTTTCCATTAGTTGTTTTGTCTTGTATCTTCCTGCGAGAATTGAGAATGAGATTTTGACTTGAAAACTCAGCATTCTGAGGACCTCTAACCTTCAGGTTTGTATCTTTGCTCACAGACGGAAGTGCCTGAAGCCCCGCCAGCACCCCAGAAAACTGCAACTCCCTGCCACCCTGGAGAGCTCCAAAAGAGACCAGTCAACTTCCATGTCACACATCAACCTGCTGTTTTCTCGTCGGGAGTCAGAATTCCCCGGGCCACTCTCTGTCACCAGTCAGGGCCGCCCGGACGTCCCAGGCTCAAAGGAGCTGATGGGCGGAGTCCATTTAGAAGTGATGTCTTCCAGCGGGGAAGCGGACATGCATACGCCCATGCTGAAGCTCTCCTACAGCACCTCACAGGAATTCAGCTCTCGGGAGGAACTCCTGTCCCACAAGGAGGAGGATAAAAGCCAAATCTCCTTTGATAACCTGACACCGAGCGGGACGTTGGGAAAAGATTACCATAAGTCAGTGGAGATTTTCCCCTTAAAGCCCAGGAAATCGATGGAAAGGGAAGGCTATGAGTCCCCTGGCGGCAGTGACTACAGGAGGAGTTACAACGCCATGCTCTCACAGCCCTTATTTGAAAAGCAAGACAGAGACGGTCAGGCCTCCGTAAACCATATTTCCACAGGAAGTAAGCTCACCATTCAGGAACATAAGTACCCTACGCCTTCATCTCCGGAGAAAGAGCAGCTGCTGGATCGCAGACCTGCTGAATGTATGATGTCGCGCTCAGTGGACCACCTGGAAAGACCTACCTCTTTCCCGCGGCCCGGCCAGCTGATCTGCTGTAGTTCTGTGGATCAGGTCAATGACAGCGTTTACAGGAAAGTTCTACCTGCCTTGGTCATCCCAGCTCATTACATGAAACTCCCAGGGGACCACTCCTACGTAGGCCAGCCCCTGGTCGTTCCATCTGACCAGCAGCTCGAGATAGAAAGACTGCAGGCTGAGCTCTCCAGTCCTCACGCAGGGATCTTCCCACACCCCTCCTCTCAGACCCAAGCCCAGCCCTTGTCTTGCCAGGCGATCTCACAGCAGCACTTGCAGGACGCCGGCGCCCGGGAGTGGGCCCCGCAGAATGCGTCCATGTCGGAGTCCCTCTCCATCCCAGCGTCCCTGAATGACGCAGCCTTGGCTCAGATGAACAGTGAGGTCCAGCTTCTGACCGAAAAGGCACTGTTGGAACTGGGGGGTGGGAAGCCCCTCCCTCACCCCAGGGCGTGGTTCGTCTCCCTGGATGGTAGGTCCAACGCACATGTCAGACATTCCTACATTGATCTCCAAAGAGCTGGGAGGAACGGAAGTAATGATGCCAGTCTGGATTCTGGCGTGGATATGAATGAACCAAAATCTGCCCGGAAGGGAAGAGGAGACCCCTTATCTCTGCCGCAGAGCCACCCACCGGTCCAGGAGCATCCGCAGAAAGAGCCAAGGGCCGCAGAGAGCTCCACCTACACGCAGCTCATGTACCTGGATGACATGGACCAGAGCGGCAGTGAGTGTGGCACCACGGTCGGGACCCCTGAGGACAGTGCCCTGCGGTGCCTGCTGGACAGCTCTGGCCGGAGAAGTGGCGGCCAGCTGCCCAGCCTGCAGGAGGAGACAACAAAACGAACTTCCGATGTCCCCCTGGAGCCGACAGCCAGTCCTGACCAGAGGCGATCTGCTCAGGAGGACGAGGAAGATGAAGAGGACGACGATGACCAAGGGGAAGACAAGAAGAGCCCATGGCAGAGACGGGAGGAGAGGCCCCTGATGGCGTTCAACATCAAATGAGTGACCACAGAGCCACCCCCCAGGGGAATATGATACAGTTGCCAAAAATTCTTTCTTACAGAAGCGCTTACCTGTTTGTGAAGGAAGATGAACCTCTCCCGCTAAGGGAAGTGGACGTTTTTTCTGCATTACCGTTGGCTGTGTAAGTGTTAGAGAGGAAGTAAAGGTCTTACTCAGAAGAAAAGGTGATGTTAACGGATGCCTCACCTCCAGGGAGATGGCTGACCTCAGTGTCTGAATGTCAATGTCGTCCCACGTACCTGCTGTGTCCACCCCCGAGGACACCAAAACATCACATGTGATGTCGCTAGGTTCCGCTGATAACCTCAGTTCTCCCCCAGATTCTGGGAACAGATGAAACTCTTTTCATTGCTTGAATCCATTTTATCACAATAATGCTCCTGTGAAGTTATTACTGAGAAACTAGCTTGGCACTTAGTGTCTCGAGGTATGCATCATCTCCAAGGGAAACTATGCATCGCTGCCTCTTGGTCTTACTTTGCTTAGATTTTTGCTTTGGTTAGGTTTCATTTCTGGTTTGCTTAAAACACACACACACACGCAATTTGGTTGTAAGGATTTTATTCCTTCATTTTCATCTGTTCTGCTTCTCAGTGGTTTATTTCGGTATCTGCTTTCAGGAACTCCTGAGTGTCATCTCATAATATCCAAGCCTTTGAATGAAATAGTACTGAAGTTTTTATCAGCTGCCAGTCCTTCAATCCTGGTCCCATTAACTCCAAGTGCCTTTTTTACAGTGACAACAGACAGTCCCTTATTTTGCTTTTTTTCGTTGTTGTTTTTCTTAATTTCTTTCATTGAACAGCCTGGATTTTATAAAGCTATTAAACGATACCCCTTTTCTTTAAACTGCATGCTGCCAAGTGCCCATTTGTGCTCAGAATTCTCATTTCAACTCTGTGTACTCTCTCGTTCTCACGTGTGACGTGGATTCTGTTTAGCGGAGATAGACTAGAGGACGCTTTAGCAATCCCCTCCCCTGTGCCACCCCTTTGGCCACTAGCCACCATTATGGTTTTCTTGGCTGTTTGTATATATGGTTACGTATTAACTCTGGAATCCTATGGGCTGATCTTGCTCGCCAAACATGGAGTATGGGCTGAGCAAGTAGACTGAATGTGACTATTAAAAAAAATCTTATGTACTATCCAAAAGTGCCAGAATGACTCTTCTGTGCATTCTCCTTGAAGAGCTGCTTGGTTATCCAAAAATGAAAACTCAGAATAAACTCTGATTTAAAAAAAAAACTATTTTGTGGTCCTTTTCATTCATTCTGAGCCATTATTAGTTTCAGAGTTGCCATTAAGAATTCACTCTTCATTCCTTGGGCAGTCTGAAATGCCAATGGGACCTTTTTTTTCAGAGACTAACACATAGACACCGAGGAATTTGCACGATGGTTAAATCCTAAAAATCCACCTTGCTGGTTAGTTTCATTCAAGAACACAATGTAACATTCTATTGTGTTTCTGCACTTTACAAGAAACCGATTTTTTTTATGTTTAATATTGATCCACCTTGAAATAGCTCCAAAAAGATGTCATTAAAATGACCAGAACCATCCCAGACGTGTGGAACTGTTAATCAAAATCATTAATGGGGCCATCAGAACATAGAACAGATCAGTGGAAATTAAGCTAGCTTGCTTTGTTGTAAAATCTTTATTATGAGTTCTACACAGGTGGAAAACGAATCAAGCTGGTTTTTATTATTATAATTCTCAAACGTTGATGTTTAGTCTTTCTGCTTTTAAAATGGTTGAGAGAATCCTTAACAGTATTGAAGCATCTGAGTGGATGGGAGTCTGTGATTTAACAAGTGAGGGACTGTTTACAAGTGAGCATTCTGACCAATAGGTGGCAGAGAAACCCTTGCAGACTTCCCTAAGACTCTAGGTAAGAGTCATTTGTCAATTACGCTCCAAAAAAAAAAAAAAAAAACTACGTGGCCTCTCCAAGAATACCTGAGGCCAGACATAGGTGATGGGGGAACACTAGGAGGTCCCCACCCCTTTGCAGCCCTTCCTTCAAGGATGCGAATGCCATCACCTCCTTAAAGCACTGGTTTCCAGAAGAGCCTCGTTTACAATGTGTTACCTGTGACTTGTAGGTGACACATTACCTGTCAGTACTGATTATGGGAGACGTGGAAGGAAGGTTGGGGGACAGGGGGCTTTTCTGATCCCTGCTTATTAGGACATACCTGGATCATTCAGGATTACGGAAAGTGTGGAGCAGCCAGCAGTGGTCACAAGACATTATGTCCCTAGAAAGACAAGACAGTGAGTTTGCCAAAGGGAAATGGTTCTGCTAAAGATGAAACTTACTCGTTTTACACTTGTCCAAGAGGCTCAGAGGCTAAAGGTTTTGCTCAGGGTGCCAACAGTGATCACCAGACTAGAATTGTCTGGAAAGTTCACCATAACTGGGTGAACTTGAAACATTGTATTTATCTCATCACAGTGTTCCGAATCAATTAAATTGTGTGAAGAACTAAAGCTGGCAAAGGTATCTTGCTTATGCCACCTAGTGGTGAGTTTTCACCTGCCTCTTATGGAGACTAACCTAGACGAACTGCTCTCTGTGGCCAGGGCTGGGAAGACAGGTGCGTGTGCACAGGGATGCTTCAGACGCTGGTTCGGTCCTCCAGGTGAGATGCGTGAGGAGATGGGACTGACATTTGTTGACTCTGTACATGGAAACAATAACTCATTCAGTACTCAAAATTTTGTGAGGTTTATTCTTTGTTTTACACCCAACTAGAGGTCAGCTAGAATCAGCAGTGTGTCACTTACACAGCCAGCACTCTGGAAATGAATGCATTTAAGTTATAAATGTTTCTGATAAGGGATGTACTGGATACAACTTACAAATTGTAATAAGATGCATAATTGTAAATTCCATTTGATAATTGATTCTCAAAGAATGCTTTCATTGATTCCAGTCGTAGCCAATCTGTTGTTGCAGTTGACCAAAGGGTGTAGTTTTAACATGACTTTTTTACTTTAATGATTAATTAATGTAACTGAAATAACGAAGATACATGTCAGAACTTCACTCACTGATCAATCACGGATTCTTTGCTGCTTTAGAAAATAGTGTTTTGAACCCTAGAAGAACAGTTTCTCATTTTTTTTGCACTACTGGCAATGTAATAACTCCAGACGTGATACAGTTTTAGGTTGAATCTGCATTATTAACATCTTCTCCATCCCTTTCTTGAATCTAGACAGTCAACAAATCAAGCCTCAATTTGTAGCATTGGCCAATTTCTGTGATGTAAATACTCCCATGTGGCCGCTTTCAATTCTCCAGATTGACATCACTGCACATGAGTTAGGAGAGATGCTTTCAGTGATAGCGAATATAACAGTAGCAGAGGTCTATGTCCACCAGATACAATAAAGGTAGATAACCTCTGAGTACAGAGGTTAACCTCAAATATACAGTTAATTATCTTGGGGATTCCATATTCATTTGGGATTTCCATATTCACAAGTCTGACTACTTGCTGAAATGCACTTGTGCCCCCAGAGCAACCCTCAGTGTGTTTTTCAAGATCATTCACACAGGCACGGAGCAATGAGCTGCCCAGCATGCATGTTCCCAGCTGAGGCTGAACCAGGAGATGCTCTGCCCTCCTGGTTCAGCCCTCAGACTGTAAACAAGTGTCCCTATTTTACAATCTGTCTATTGCCACATTGTCTGCAGTTCTGTGCTTTTTGTTGGTGATCTTGCTGTCGAAAACGGCCTGCAAGTGTAGTGCTGAAGTGCTGGCTAGTGTCCCTAGTGCAGGAAGGCTGTGGTGTGCCTGATAGGGAGAAGACGTGTGTTAGATGAGCTTGGTTCAGGCGTGAGTTAGAGCACCCAGGCTGACCATGAGCCAGAAAGCAAGAGCAGAGGAGCAAAGGTCTACCTGACTCCAAAACCTGGTCTCTTGCTTTGTGAATTTTCACAGGGAAACCGCTAATTAGAGCAGAAAATTCAAAGTGCAATTGTTTTCCAAGCAATAGCATCACTTGGGATGCAAGATGGGCAGTGTTCACTGGGGAGAGCACCATGCACCTTCTTGTGGTTCAGGTCTGGCTGCAGGACTTGGGAGGCATTTATGAAGGAAATGAGTTTATGTGCCCTAAACCATGCTAGGTAATATGCAACCTCATTTAAATGACAGAGCTCCTATGCTTTGGGAACTTGATTTAGTCTAAACTAAAACAGATAAATGCTAAAACAGTGAGGCAAAGCGCCCAAGAAAATGAGACCAGAACCAAAAAAGAAACAGACAATAAGCCCTAAAATTAATCAGGCCACAAGTCCAATAAACGATATTTGATTTCTCATGTTCATCCTCTTACATTTTACATGTAGACCTCTGTATTTGGAGGACAACAAGATAAAAATGAGTAAAGTTACAAATAGAAATTTGTGATTTTTCAACTATTTCAAAGTTCCACAATTTTTTTTGTCTTTAAAGTTTTTTTTAATTGAGGTATAATAGACACACAACGTTGCTCTGTTTTCAGGTGTACGACGTAACGATTCCATGTTTGTAGATATTGTGGAAGGATCACCACAGGAAGGCTAATTAGCATCCATCACCACACGTACTTACAAAATTTTTTCTTGTGATGAGAACGTTTAAGATCTACTCTTCTTAGTAACTTTCACACGTGCTGTACAGTGTTGCTAAGTATAGTCACCATGCTGTACATTACATCCTCATAACCTATAACTGGAAGTTTGCAGTTTTCCATGGTTTCTTATTTGCTGTTTTGACACTAATTAAAGCAAGTTGCAGTTATGTTTTGGAACTTTTATGAGGACTCTGGACATCACAGAGAACCCGTGGAGGTGGGCATGATGGTCGTCGTGATCCTGGAGCAGGAGAAGAAGGCTGGTGAGGGGGGGAGAAATTGTCCCAATCGATTAGGGGAAGGAGAAATTTCAAGCCTTCTCTTTTCCCTTGCAAACTATTTTCAAAGCTGTGGGCACAAATGTACACCAAAATCCCTGATACATGCTTTTATCGCTCTTTACTATGATTGTGACTTGTTTAAGGCTGGTATTCTGGTCCCTGAAAAGTGGCTAGTAATTCCTGTAAGACTGTTTCACCTCAGCAGGAGGAGGAGCAGGAATTAGAGCCACTGAGAGTGTGGAACATGAGAGAGCCTTGATAATCTCCCACGAGAGGGGATTGGAGCCAAGAGGTTTGAGATGACCTCCCCTACGCAGGCAGTGAGTGACCACATGGGGTGTCTGGGTCTGTTCAGGCTGCTATTACAAAATACCATAGACTGGGTAGCTTATAAACAACATTTATTCCTCACAATTCTGGAAGCCAGAAGTCTGAGATCAGGGCACCAGCGTGAGTGGGGGAGGGCCCTTTAATTTACAGTTGGCACCTTCTTATTGCCCTCACATTGTGGGAGGGGGTAGGAGCTCTGTGGGGCCTCCTTATGAGGGCACCAATCCCATTCATGGGGGCTCCACCCTTATGACCTCATCACCCCAAAGGTCCCGCCTCCTAATACTGTCATCACCTTGGGCTTTAGGGTTCCAAATTATGAATTCGGGGAAGACATAAACATTCAGGCCATTGCACAAGACAGGGCCTCATCTCCTGATGCCTGGTTCTGCATGTGTCCACCTCCTCAGGAGGCTTCTGTATCCCCTGCTCTTTCTGGCCAGTTCCTCTGCAGCTTCCACTGTCTCTTCACATCCTGTGTATGATAGATACTCAACAACCAGAGTGTAAGGCATCGTAAGCCATGCTAGTTATTAAACTTCCAAGGCTGTGGGAAGAACCCTGGATTTGGATGCAGAACACCTGGGCATCAGACCTGGCTCCTGGAATCAGACAGGTAACACTTCGGGGGCTGTAGAAGGGGGATGGTGTTTCCTGTGCTGCTTACCTGAGAGCAGGGGTAGGGGGGAGTTAAAATGAGACAACATTAAAGTGCCCTGTAAAGTGTAAATTACGGTACAAATAAAAGTTGTGATTTCTCTTAATTATTCTTCCAATCTTGTAGTTCCCTAATCTTGTTGCTACAGTGTAACAATGATCTTTTGTTGTTGTTGCTATCCCGGGAGCTTCTCTGCTGCTTTTTAGGAAAACAATAGACAAAACAACAAGATCTCTTCTTTCCCGTGCTTATTGCTTCCCCCAAGCTTCATCTGAGTGATGGCTCGCTCTCTGCACAAAATGATTTGCCAGGTGCTTAACATCAACCCAGGAGCTCAATAAAGAT